CCCTCTATCGGGATAATTTGTATATGTCTCGATCATTCAAGAAATACGACGGTTTCCATGTTCTTGGTGATTTATTATGGTTGATATATTAAACAGGAAACTGGGAAAAACTTTTTTTTAAACTTCGACAGTTGTAATTGTACATGTTTAAAACTTATAAACAAGCATGTTCAGTTCTATCCCATCTAGAGGCATATATAATAATTTTGATATTTAGTAATTGAACTATAATTTTGTACCATATCACGATAAAAAATATATGTATATGATACATTTATGATAATCCGCACGTCAGTACAATATTATTTCTTATTCCGGGTCTAGGACTCGACTAGCTCAAATGAGCTATTTCCATGACCCACACCAGAATCCTTTGCAGTGGTAAAAAGGAAAAATTAATTGTGTTATGTATATTTTCTTTTTCTGGTGTAAATAAATAAATACATTTGCGTATGTTTGTACTTGACATACTTCAACGCTATACCGTGACATGGTAATTCGGATAATAAAATAATTACTATCGCATATCACACGCCAAGCTAAATACAAGTAGTGGACCAATTGAAGGTCTTATCTTACGTGATTTGTGAGTACAAGCTCGGGCACTCCTGCGTCGTATCCAATTCATAAATATTATTGGTACTCGTACCTGCGAATCATTGTTTCTGAATCTCCAATATCTTGCTATTAAAATAAATCAGTACAATCGCTCAAATATTCATTTGCAATAAAACAAACTGTACATGCAAATATTGAATAGACGACAAGCAGACTTCAACATCACGTGTTTTTTTGTTTGTTTTTTTGACGGAGTACGTCATACTATCTGTAGCCTCGTTCACGGACAGTCGGTCAATAAATACTCGAATCGTCCTCTAAATATCTATGAAACATATCATTTTATGGCTTTATAATTTGATACACCGCGAAATCCTATTACCGTTATATTGATTCGTCTCATTTATCTCCATGGTAACAGCATGAACCTCGAAGGTGTGCTGACAGGAAGCAATGCAACCACTTGTGTTACAAAACGGGGCGTGTCAGTTGACATCATATATGGCCGTCCCGTAACTTATACTCAGATATACTTCAGATTGAATATTGAATAGAAGCATTCGTGGGCTAGCATGTGTCATGGGTTGTAAGGTCTTGGCACTTGGCTGGTGATATACATGTGCGTTCTGAATTTCGCTGTGAAAGGGTTTGGGTAAACTTTTGATTTTGCAAATATATATATTCTAACTATACCAGACAAGTATCAGGGGTTGTACGTTTCTCGTAGTCAGCTAATGCGATTTCTTGAACTTCTTCTTTCTTGAGCGCCGTCATTGAATTGGTGTTAATTTGCGGATTCCTTGGTCACAGATACCACGTCTATGACAACAAACTTTATTCAAAATGATCTTTGTACATCATTGGAACGACGAAGTATTGATTAACGCGTGACCTGTGATTAGATTGTCGAAATACCTCGGGCCTAATTTGTTAGTTTACTGAATCAGCGTTTGCAAGAACTGCCACGTGCATTTCAGCCTTCAGGCCTTCGATGTGGCAATTCTTGCAAACGACTTCGGCATTTGCTGATTTAAGTATATCACTTGGCATTGGCGTCTGGACGTACTTCACTTGACGTATGTCATAGACACGCATCTCAGTAAATACGAAATGTCCACGAAACTTTATCTCAAGACAACCATAGAGATATAAGCACACAGTGCAAACTGTTAATCACTGTAAACCCAGGTCGTGTTTATTTTGATAAAAGAATTTATATACCAGGATATCCGTATTGTTTTGCAGACTAAAGGGACTACAAAATGAAATGCATCAAATTACCAAAAACAATAATTGAAGAAATCCACATAACATCATGCACTACGCTGTATAGCTCCACGGCCAGCTGATTAAATTAAATCGATTGTTTTACATTGAGTATATTTTTCACTTTATTTTTACTGCTGTTTTTGTCAATTTGTTTTATTGTGAAAGCCGCATACCGTGAAACCAGCAACATTTATAATGACACAAAACTCTCGTACAATACATGTTTCGATTAGCGTAAAATACGACGTATGTGTGTAGAGCAATCTTTGACGTGCACGGTGGACACGGTATGCAAATATAAACCTTGAAGCCTTTTTTCTGTTTTGGGGACATGTTCCCGCTCTACCGCTCATGAAGTCTATTCCCGCTGGTGATAAAAACATAGAATGTTTTTTACCCGATAACTTAATATCAAGAATGTATAGAATGGTTCAATGGCAACAAAATACTGTCCTGATCTATAGCTAATCATAGGGTGAAGACAACAGAAAAAATAATTTAGAATTCACGTCATTTGTCTGAGAATAGATATTTAAATTCATTGGTCAGAAATGCAACACGTTGAATAGAAACGGGACAAAATACATACGACTTTGGTTTATAGTTGATTTTAAAAGTCTTTCGGGTACCTAGAGTTTATCTCCTGGATTGTGGGGTACTCTCCAGCAGAATGTTTATAAATTCAAACGTTTATAAAATTTACAAAAATACTATAAGATAATGCGATATTTGTTTGCCGACTTCCACATAAATAGTACGTGATGATATTTCTTCTGTTTGTCCACCAACAAAATAGAACAGTATGAGAATAATGAAGATGACGTACATCAGAAACAAAACCTAAACAATATATATATTAACAACTGCATTTTACAAGTCCAGGAACACGAAACATATAACCGGTATACATATTGAAATATGTCAATTTGTATGTGTATTTATAACATTATTAGTTTTCTTACCTATTTCTGTGATCTCTTTGGTTATTTGGTATGTGTATAACTAGCCAATTAACAATATAACAAATTGAGTTCATACATAGACTAGTGAACAACAACGCATTTCAATATTATATTATTATAATATTATATTATTATATTTTGAAACATTTAATTGTAAGCTAACATAATACATTGCAATATTTAAATAATCTATAAAATACTATACTTTCACGGTTATGTTATTTTACATATCAATAAAATATGGTAGAGTTTAAATATATTCTACCCGATGTACATACTTTTCATTTAATTATAGTTTCGTACATCTAATATATATTACCTTTTTGCCCTGAGGACAATCATAGTACTGTGTTGGTAGGTAATACAAATTTGAACATTGTTGAGCTACGTATTTTCTCCTCAATACCAGGAAGGGTATAATACAAACTATGGTTGTGTAAACTGTGAATTTATTTGTTTAAACTTAAATACACATTAGTTGTAATATTGTTTCCCAATAATATCAGATCTACATCACACATTGAAATTATTCACATAATTCACATACAATATCTTTTAAAATTGCAATGTCCCAATATATTTCAATTATTTCACCAGTGCCTTCACACAGGAAAACTGATGAACATAATTAGCTATTAAGTTAGCTTTCCATCGATTTTTAAATTTGTCAATTAACATATTGCCACTCAAATATAGTTATTGCTCCTCAGGTCGAACTCCACTACATCTGCATATGCAATGATCAAAAACATAGGAGGTTTATTGGGTTCGTACTAACCCCCTAAAAGTAGTTTTGTACAAAGAAACAAAGCTGTTGAAATTTTGAAATTCTGCATCCGCCCCTGATCATTATGTACAGAACGTTTGTTTTGTACGAATTCCATGTAGATCAATGTTTTATATTAAGTATGCATTTATGTTAATGTACAGAGTAGCCAATCCTAATTGTAGAAACAGAATGTACACTGGTTCATTAACAGATTACAATAATAATACTCTATTAGAAGTGCATCTGTACGGAAGCACGAATGCACCAAACATAAGCCAATAATTTCATTTTTCAATTTCATTTTATGTAAAATTGTGTATGCACAATTATTATAGTTCTGCTACTGTTACACTAGAACATTCATTTGTAAAGCTTGGCAATACACAGGTCTCTTACAATTCCGTGCTCAGATCTTCAAGTTCAGCTGGCTCAATCACTTCCGCAAAGTAATGTAGAGTTTTATTCTTGGTCCAGGAATGAGAGTTGTCAAATCTTAGAATGTCTGAAAATAAAGTGAAAGTGTGCATGGAATTTTGAATAAGCACGATTTGGCAAGTAAAATCCCTAGAATTAAAACGCTACTTATAGTTCAGCAATATTTCATTCCAGTGACAATTAAAAAACCTTATTACACATACTACAACACATTCAAGGCACAGTCAAGCATTCAGTACAGAGTAACTCCAAGTAGAAACTGTCATTTTACGCCTTATGCCTTACAGCAAGGGATGTGGTATCAATCGAATTTTAAATTACATTTAGCTGCTTTAACACTATATAGAACATTGGATAAGTATAATTATTAAGTACTTGTTTCATAATTTTCTTCTTTCCCCTTTTTCTTTTTATATCTGCTTGCCTACATCTTCTTCTGTTATTGCATATAGTTCAAAATATAGTATTTACGAATATGTCAGTGTAATTATGTTAAGTTTAAAGACTATGCATTTATTTCATAACATATTCAGAGATATACATTGACTGTAATGTGGTATTTCAGGGTTATCTTGAGCATTTAAATAAACTCACATGTTCCAGACTCTGAACAATCAAAACTGCCATCTTCATACACTAGATGACTGTTATGCTTTTCGAGCTCTTTGACAGGTTTCAAATCTTTAACACCAGTCTGTAGAAAAACAGCTAATCCTATATCACCTTCATCAGTTTTGAATACATATCTGTAATTAATTATAGATACATTACAAACATGCATATAGGATTAACCACCACAGAAACCTCACTATATTGTATAATGAATGAAAATCCACAGTGGCTAGATGAACAGTATATTCTCTGACAGAGAATCAATGTCTGGTATAACCTTTTCAAGACCAGTTCCCCTTTTCACTACAAATTCACAAAATAGTCTTTCCTTCCTTCAGAAAATTGGGACAAAAATAGCCAGTTCTATTAAGTAAAAACTGAAAATTGACTCAAATTTTGTCTGCTTACTCCAAAATTAGTTCATTTCCAAAAATATGATTATGAAAAAAGTGAGAACAAAAATGGCTAGAAAGTCTGGTGATATAAATGATAAAGCACCATACACAAATTGACAAGTCAGGTTATAGCATTGAGAGCAAGTTAACAAATTTATATTTGAAAAAGTTGTATGAATTCAGAAGACAATCATAGTAATGAGGCATCATATATAAAAATTAGTTTTATTAAACAGCCATTCAGTACTTGTATTGTAGCTTTTGATTGGTTGAACAAACAAACAAACAAACAGATTGAAACAAAAAATGCCTTGCACTGTGTGAACAAAAGAAAGTTTATTTACTAAAATGCAGAAATGCTATAGCAAAGGACAGAAATAGAATTTTGTCACAAGCGTTCACAGTGCAAAGCTTTTATCGTAATTCAGATGCTGTTTTCAATGAATTGTCCTGAACAAGTCAATGTTAGAGACGTAGTTACCCAAAAGAAGAGAAAAATGCAAAGATTGTTTTGGAATGAATGCGAAATTCTACTGTGTTCAGCACTAGATGTAAAATAACTATATGTTAATACAGTTTTACCTTATTACACTATTTTTTTTGGATACTTCAAAAGTCAGATCAAATTTTTTCTTCACCACTTCTACTGCTAAGTTTTTATCATCTGCAATTTGAATTTCTTGCATATAATATTCTTTGGGAATTATGCCACCAGGATTAACCTAAATAAATTCAGATAACATTGGATACAGTGAAAAAGTGATTGTGTAAATAGTTTGTGCAAGTTTCAGCGAATAATATTTATTTGATTAATGTACAACAGTCTGGGCTAACATTTTTTATTCAATATATTAAAAACAAACTTTTTTCTGAAGAATTATAAATATTACATAATATTACTCATTCACAAACTCAGATAATTTCTGTTTGTATGTTGGGGCTGACAAGGTTTTGCACATATATAAGCATGCACTTACCAGACTGGGACATTTTGGATCACCAGTTTTAGGATCAGTCATAGTACCTCCCCAGTGAACTGGCAAACTTTCTGCAGGGATGTCCTTAAGTAAGGTTGATTTGAAGTTATCTATTATACAAGACAGAGAGAATATCAGATTACAATGGAAAAATAGGTCATTGCAAATGACACAGTTCCTGTCAATTTTTTTCAACATTGGCTCTATGTGCTCAACATAAGACAGCAAATAATATAGCAATATAGATGACAAGCAAAGCAACTGTGCAGGTTCATATCTATGACATCTCACTTGGTAAAAATGTTTAAAAAGTAATGAAAGTATGTTTGAGAAATAATTAACTGACAATATCCTGATTTGTTTTTGACATTACATAGTCATATTCATTACATATGTATTGTATTAAGTTTAGCTATCTCGTCGGTGCAAATGTATCTCTTGGTAATCTACCTATGTATTTATAAAGACTGAAAAGAGAATACAAAATAGTCAACAATTAACCATACATGATCAAATAACAACAACAAAAGATGGCACCTGTATTAATTTAACCTAATATGTATGATCATCATACCAACTTTTATCCATTCTAGTCATCTCAAAGAAACAGTTCTGAACACATTTGAGCATCAGAAATAGCTAATTTTATGTCACAAATGGTCACCAATCAGTGTTTTTTGTTCAGATCATTGAGTATTAAACTTGATGTGTACAGACAATATGTCTATGTACAAATTATGAGATCAGTCGGTTGGTGTACAACTCCAGAAGAATAGATGAACATGACCAATATAGTCCCTGTTTTTGGACAGTGCCTGAATATGAACTAAAAAGCATATCAACTTTTGAAGAACAACCCACCATAACCAAATGTTAAATAAATAGAATAGACATCAGACGTAAATAATTGCCACCATGATCTTGTTGCCCTGACCTATATAATCAGGTTATTTGAAATAGTGGACATGATTAAAGATAAATGTGTTTGAGGGGTAAAAACAAATCTTATTAGGTTTGCTCTAAATTGAGATCTTGGTAATTATTTGAGTCTTAGAGTTATTACAAGACATAAAACTGAATATGAATACATCATGATTAAAGATAGAAAAACATGAAATACTTACGACCAAGTACATGAATCTTTTTACGAACATTTTCATCAATAAATGGTTTAACTAATGCATATATGATTGGGAAGATCTTGGGGGCTCTAACAACATAGATGGCTACCAAATTCTCAGGATAATTGTCTTGGATAAGGGCTATAGCCTAATGGAACAAAAACATCAATAACAAATTATGAGAATAATATAGTCAATATTGAAAATTTTTCAGTGAGTTGAGACAAAAAGAAAAAGGATAGGTGGCTAGTAATTGAGTTTAAATTCAAGTAGTGATTAACAACATGGAATGTTTACATTAATGCTAAGATGCAAAAGGTGTCTGGATATTGTCATGTTTTTTAAAGATGTGATTAAGAACACATAAAAATAAAAACAACATATGCAACAGTTGGTGAAAAAAATTATGTGCATTAAGGTCTCATAATGTTCACACAAATTTGGTCTTGCACAACCAAGATCCAAGGCTGGAACTACAGAAATGCTTGATTTTGATGATTTTTGTAACATTGAAATCATGCAAGTAAATGTGTGTAAGTGATTTAGATGTATTATATAAAGATTGAACATGATCAGTCAAATTATAACACAGATATGACTCTGGAACAGCATTCATTAAAACTAAATGGCCGTCAGTCAGCCATTTTGAGTCCAATCTGAAAAAGAACTGACTGCATTTAATAAAGGTATTTTGTATAGAAATTCAATGAGTGACAATTGGTTTACATTAGTTGTTCTTAGGCCAAGCATCAAATACAATATTCTTAAAAAACAACAATGTTTATTATATAATAAACCAATGGCTACAAGTTTGAACTTCTGATTTATATCATAATAAAAATGTTTTTTATTGAACGGTTCAGCAAGCAATTACTTGCACACACTTGAGCAAGTAAGGTTAATTTAAATACAAAAGGTCAATTGTAATTCCCTGTCAATTGCTCAAAAATATTAAAATTCGTTTCATAACCTTGAAAAGACTATTTTAATGTGTGTATTTGCCAGGGTTCAGATTAAACAGGTTTCACTGTAGAGTAAAAGCTACAGACCTTATTAAAGAGATCAACCCCTGGTTTCCATAGATGTTTAGTTCCAAGTCCTTCCAAGTCTATCATATAGCACATTCCTTCAATACGCCGACCATACTGACAGAATAAATATGAAATGGAATGACAGGTCATTTGTGAGAATTAATTGCATATCCAGAGTGGTATTCAACACACAAACATGAAAAGCAATCATGTAATTCACATCATCATCAAAATGAAGCCTTCAACATTCTTAGATTAAACATTTCAAAATGAGAAGCACTGATACTATATGCATACTTTATATTCTTTTATATTTGCTATTTAAGAATGAATCAGTGAAAATAAAATTGTGTGAAATTTCAGAGAAAAAAATCATTCAATTAATGTAAATTCAGAAGGAACAAGGCTAGAAGAAGTAGAAGAATACAAGTATTTAGGGCAGTGGATAACAGCAAATGGCAAATGTTTACACGTAGTGAAACGATGAATTGGCTGAGCTAAGGGAGATTTCTGGGAGCTAAAGGAGTTGCTAAGGAGAGACCTAAATATTAAAATAAAAAAAAGATTCTAAATACATATATTTTCTCAATAACAAGCTATGGTTCTGAGAGTTCTGAGATGTATTGAATGAAGTGATAAGGGGAATAAAAGCTTTTTAAAACTGGTGCTACAGGAGAATTTTGAGAATAAGCTGGAAAGATCATTTAACTGAAATTAGCAACAAGGAAAACTAGATTTTCAGGACATGTTCTTAGAGGATCTAATGGAGGGCTTGCTAGCCTCATAATTGAAGGTACTATAGAGGGAAATCAAGGAAGAGGACAAGCTAGAAGAACTTGGAGAAAGGACAAACACAGAGAACCTTGGGATTGCCAAGAGAAAAGCTGTAAACAGAAGTTTGTGGCACGTCTTGTTGTCAACCTTTGAATCAAAGAATACACTGGAAGATGATGATGAAGAAATATCAGTGATAATACACTCAATCAAAGAAAGCTTAGAAAGAACTCCCGTGTGCTGAGAGTATTGAAGACACATTAAAAATTAATTCAAAATTACTT